CCAGCTTCTAGTGCCTGTCTCACTGACAGCCGCTATAGGCGCTTCCGCAGTCAGAAGATGCTGACATCCATAGGAAAGCATTGAGTAATGCTTTCCTATGGGCGGTTTGAATGTGCGCGTGGCTCTTGCCGCGAATGCGCATTCGGATCTGACGTCGGCAGGGGGTGGAGAGTTTCCCAGCAAAGAGGGAGCCCGGCGCTGGAAAAAGGTAAGTGGCTGAAGGGGTTTAACCCCTTCAGTCCAGTGGGATGGGGGCCATGAGGGTGGGGGGGACCTAATGACCCTATAAATATAAATTACTACAACAAACTTGAGGAACACGTGATCCTCAACAAAAGCGTCAGTCACCCATCATTGCTAAAAATAATGAAGAAAGAATCAAGGAAAGAACATCACTATTGTGAAAAACATTGCTAATGCATAATCTATGTGGACATGTAAATTGCTCAAGTCAGAAATCACCTCTGGCCTAATGGAATCCAGAATTTTCTTCTACTGAACTATCGATCTCATTAACATTCTTAGTTTTACAAGAAACAATGGACAGTCTAATGCAGTGTCAAGAACAGGTAATAACAGTTAATAAGATAAGATAAGAAACCTCTATTTTATCATGACATCTTTCTTAAAACTCTACCTAGTGTCACAGATTACTGCTTAAAGGACCACTATAGGCACCCAGACCACTTCAACTTAATGAAGTGGTCTGGGTGCCTGGTCCAGCTAGGGTAAACCCTTTTTTTTTTAGTAAACATAGCAGTTTCAGAGAAACTGCTATGTTTATAATAGGGTTAATCCAGCCTCTAGAGCCTTTAGTGGCTGTCTCATTGACAGCTGCTAGAGGCGCTTGCGTGCTTCTCACTGTGAAAATCACAGTGAGAAGACGCCAGCGTCCATAGGAAAGCATTGTAAATGCTTTCCTGTGAACTGGCTGAATGTGCGCGCGGTTCCTGCCGTGTATGCGCATTCAGCCGATGACGTCGCTATGAAGGAGGAGAGGAGGAGGAGAGCTCCCCACCCGGCGCTGGGGAAAGGTAAGATTTTAACCCATTCCTCTCCCCAGAGCCCGGCGGGAGGGGGACCCTGAGGGTGGGGGCACCCTCAGGGCACTATAGTGCCAGGAAAACGAGTATGTTTTCCTGGCACTATAGTGGTCCTTTAACAGCTATCATTATCCAGTGATGGTAATGATTGAATAACGACTGTTTCATTGAACATGAACTTTGAATTTTTTTTTAACAATTTTTTTATGAAGCAGATAAATCAAATTAATTATAATGTATGCAATTGCCTATGAGGATTATTTATCAAAGTGTTCTGTACTAATGTAGTAAAAGTGGGGCAGTCACAATGGAAACCAGTGGAACCAACAGGCACATTTTCAAAGGGAATATAATTCGTGACCAAATTAAAGGAATATGCCAAGAACCATTACCACTATAGTTCACTGTAGTTGTTATGACGGCAGGAGAGTCCTATCACACCTAAATGTAGGTAGTCAATGGTTTGCCAGTTATTTTACTTTTTACCTGGGCATCAGGTGCTGCTCCCTGTCTCTCCCTGCAGTGGGAAACCCACTTCCTGACCTAGTCCAGTTGTACATGGCTTAGCTTATAGTATGAGATCAGCCATCAGACGTTCTCAGCCAATGAGCTGGTCCTGCACTGCACAGCTTAGTTTAGGTAAGCTCACAGAAGCTGTAACCAGGCTGCAGAGAACGGCTAAACGGTCTAACTACTTAAAGTAGGGGTGTTCTAGTGCACTCCTGACACCAAAAACACTAAGGTACTCTGTAGTGGTCATAGTGCTTGGAGCGTTCTTTTATGAATTTGAACTTATATTACATTAAGTGTTGTGTGTATTACAATAGTTTTTTTTCAGATGTATGATCAGTGTTTCATACCAAGTTTGGACTCGTCTATCTCTTGATGTTCCACAATTTCCCAGATCTCATTGTTTTCAAGCAGGTAAGATTTGAGATTGCTTAGCATTTGTCGTATATTCTGCAACATCTCAATACTCGACTGGTTGTGGGCAGATCCTTTGTGCATATTGCAAATAACAGATTGAACTGTGCCACCAAAATATGATGCAGGGTCTTCTGCAAGTTGCTGTATCCTGTTTCCAAGGTACTTCTCTGGTGAGACAAGTCCAGTGAGAGCAGTACTAACAGCAAGTATGCTATGTCTCACAATGTCGCCCAGCCCATGTGAGTGTTTTCTTTTGTAGTTCAAAGAGTGGCAATCTACATCCTCCTCAACACTGCTCATGGAAATAGAGTCCAACTCTGGAAGTGGAGGGAGAAGAAAGCTGTCTGAGGAATTAAGGGATGTTTCTGAGCTTGATTTCTGTAAATTACCCTCTCCTGGTTGCACAACTTCAATCCACGATACTCTGTGTGGGAGAAGAGAAGATCTTTTCTCGCTTGATTTCTGTTGTAAGGACTCCGTCTCCATTTTAACTTCTTCTGATTGCTTATTACCTTGGAATCTCTTGGAACCCAACTTCATTTGTCTACTTGATATCCTCTGTTTCCTCATTTTTGGTACAATGTCAGAACTTCCCTGTGTTTCAGAGGAATCCATGAAACAGTGCATACCTGGAGTCTCTTCACTTGACCCCACGGTGCCTTCCCTGGGCTTCATTGTCTTATGTTCAGACTCTTCACCTTCACCCAGCCTGACAGTGATGTCCTTCTGCTCTTCTGTATTCTCCTGATAATCTTGTTCAATATCTGAGGAAATATTGGATAGAATGATAAACCAAAGCTCTATTAACTGAATATTTTAATTTTAAAAATCCTATTGTATAAAGGATATTGAAACAAGTATTATGGGAAATTAATGCCACTGATAGATTCTTGCAAAATGCATAGTAAACCACAAGCCAAATAGTTGAGAGGTTTTATTAATGTCTAATGTTTTAAGGTAAAATAATGCTGTCTTGTGGATTTGACATTAGAAGACATTTAAACATGCTCACGCGTTGGGAATCTTTTAAATTACCTTATTTTCTTTTAATTACAAGTAAGGCATGTAAGGCTAGTATAAGGTTTGGGTTAGGGCTAGATTTCTACTTAAGACTGGGTTTCTGTTACACCTATGGAGTGTTAATCTTAGGGCACCATGAAACAAAAAAGTCCAGCAAACATCTTTAAGTGATTATTTGGCTTTTCTCTCATTGCTAATAGTGATGTCGCGAACCGTTCGCGAACTTGCTGCGAACGGTTCGCCACGAACCGTTCGTGGCGAACGCCAGTCAGCTGACACATCCCTGCCAATCTCCGGCAGACCCTCCCTCCCAGACTCTCCCACCTCCTGGACAGCATCCATGTTGAAGCTGCCTTCAACATGGATGCTGTACAGGAAATAGGAGGGTCTGGGAGGGAGGGTCTGCCGGAGATTGGCAGGGATGTGTCAGCTGACCGGAGTTCGCCACGAACGGTTCGTGGCGAACCGTTCGCAGCAAGTTCGCGAACGGTTCGCGACATCACTAATTGCTAATATGATGGGAGAGAAGCTGGGGAGACAGAAATACTATATTAGTGTATAGTGAACTCCTTAGGCAAAACACTTATAGGAAAAGGGCTAAACTAATGGCAGCTTCAGGATCAATATTGGATATCTAGTTTGGCCATTAGTTCTGAGTGGGTTACATCCTGCATTGTGGAATGTTGCTATGTATCAGAAAGGCCATGGGTTTAGTCCAATGATAAATGTTATGGTCTCTCTCCCACATACACTGACTTAAGCCCTCTCCCCAAATCTAAATCTATACCCGGCCCTTAGTTTAACCTTGAACCCTTATGTATTCTATAGATCTCATTGCGACACCAAATCTTTGATTACATTTAGAGTATTACATAAACCTATATTAACCTGTTGTTAATCCTTCACACCATCACATTAAAACCCTGCACCCACAGCAGTAACCCAACTCCAAATGTAGTGCATTTAAATGGCATTGTCAAAAAATGATATAATTGCTTGTTTTAAAGCCAACCAAGCTTCAATTTGCTCACTAAAGTTTCAAAGCAATTCAATATGGACAAATGCAACAAAGATATAAATATTCCTGTTCACAAAATAATCTAACCAGATCTGTCTCCCCAGCTGCTCTCCTGGCATATCAATATTGAGAGTTTCAAGTACTTATGGTATTGCCGGTTACTACCTTGTAGTGTAACTCCCACTCTATATAAAAAGCCTGTAGCTAGTTGTGTTTGCAAATAAATCCCTTTTGCATTTTATAGTGTGCTTAGGGGGATATTAATAAAATGACACCAACCTTCAGTATCATGGACGATGCCAGAATCCTGGTCATAAAACCATGGCACACTTCTCCTCTTCATGTCCACCTGTCTTCGTGAATACTGTGTGAGCCATTTATCACCATGCTCATGCAAAAACAGGGGGTTAATGACGCAGAGAGCGCCATTTTCTGATGTTACGTGTATAGCACACAGGGGCTGTCCTTGTTTATTCCTTGTTGATAGATCCAGTTTCATTATCTAAAAGGGTTAATTCTGAAGACAGTGCATACAGAGCTTCGGATTTCCTGTAATCACATAAGAATTCATTCAGTGTGATGGTGTTAGCTTACAGTTAGCTTACATGAAAATACCATCCTTGCACAAACTTCAAGAGAACAGGAAGTTGCAAACGTGTAAATTTCTTGATTATCGTGATGTCAGGATATGTTGCATTTCCACAATGCTGAACCATTTCATCAATTACGTTATTCCCACAAAGAAATGTACGCTTAAGTAGGCTTATAACCTAGACAGCAACGTAAACACATTGAAGTTTATTTACTATACACAGAATTGCAATAAATCGAAACCTGATTTGCAAGATTTTAAATCATATAGTCAATATGAGGCTATATATGGTTTGTGTATATTCAGTGAGGGAAAAAAGTAATTGATCCCCTGCTGATTTTGAAAGTTTGCCCAATGACAAAGAAATGATCAGTCTATAATTTTAATGGGAGGTGTATTTTAACAGTGAAAGACAGAATAAATTTTTTTTTTTAAAAAAGCAAGAAAAACGCATGTCAAAAAAGTTATTGAAACAAGTATTTGATCCCCTATCAATAAGCAAGAGTTCTACCTCCCAGGTGTGATTAGGAGCACTCTCTTAAAGGGAGTGCTCCTAATCTCAGCTCGTTACCTGTATAAAAGACACCTGTCCACAAAAGCAATCCATCAAATTCCAAACTCCCCTCACTATAGACTGAATATACAACACGTTTGCCTAAATTTTGCATCTTGGTTTACAAATTAACACAACTTAGTGTTTACAGAATACTACACAGACCGAGCTGTTTCAATAACAAATTTTATATTTAAATAATTAAAGGTTTATAAGTTATTGTGGCTTAGTTTCCAAAGCCCCCAGTAGTCCCACCATATCCCATTAGAACTTATAATACATACAGTGGGTATACAATATGGAAACAAGAAAGCTGTATTAAGTAAATTGTACTGAAGTAGCATTAAACCAAAAGGTAAAGGGTGTTAGCGTAATAATCGAATAACCACCAGGTTAGGTTCCACATTTTTTTGCTGGTTTGTTTTATGTTGTATATAGTCTATCATGTCTGTCTGTCGTCTGTCTGTCATCTGTCTGTTTATTGTGTGAACTGTCGTGAAGTCTAAGTTTCTTTAAAGTGATTTTCACAATGGAAACATTCTTCAACTTAAGTGTTTGTCTAATCTATCTGTGTTATCGTACTGCTTGTCTATCTAATCTGTCTGCCTATATGTTTAATTTATTTTTGTCTGATCTGTAATTTCAGTATAACTCTGTGTCTAATCCATCTTAAGACCCTGAAAAAAAAAATCTAAAACGTAGGTCTCAATACATATTTAAATAAAAATGAATACATGGCATCCCATCATACTATCACCAGAGTCCTTGTAGATTTCTAATGACTTCTGCTTGAAATTAGGAAATATTTCCTGTTTGTATACACAGTGGCTTGAGAATAACCTGCCCACCAGCATTTACAGTAAACGGATTTTGTCATACACATCACTGTATTGTCAGACACAGGACTGCTACTCCCAAACTACACCTGATATAATTTGTCCATTGTCTGTCTGTCCATGTTGTTTTTGACGGTAACCATTGTTAATTGTGAACATGTATAGTCAGTACGTTTTTCATCCTTTACACCCTGCCACTTCCTTTTCTGTTTTAGACTTTGAGATCTCTGTTGAGCTTTTCTTATTGCTCACGTTTAACAAAAATACATAGGTTTTAACGATCTATGTGATAAATAAATAGGAGATATATATCTCATACATGCAGTTCCCTGTTTCACTTATCTAAATAGATAAGGGAATGCAATTTCCTACTTTTTGTTTTCTTTTTTGTCTCCAATATACATACATAGATATTGTATTTGCCTGTTTTATGCACGTAATACTATTTAAAGTAGGTATCACTAAATCTCTGGTTTCCACCCCAGTCTTTAACATAAACCAATGGTCCAGAGTTGTTTGCAATGGCATAAATAGGGAATTACATATGTGTGGGCAGAATGGGGGGAATAAGACACATTGAGGTTCAGAATCGGGGAAATAAGAAACAATAAGATACTTTAAAAGGCTGGTGGGGCAGATTGGGCGAGTGAGAATATGACACATGGAGGGGATGGGGATACAATGGGGGAGTAAGACACAAGGAAGGGCTAGGGAGTACAATGGGGAAGTAAGACACATGGAGGGGCTGTGGGGTACAATGGGGAAATAATACACATGAAGGGACTGGGGTACACTGGGGAAATAAGACACATGGAGGGGCCGGGGGGAGGATGAGACATATGGAGGAGCTGGGGGAATGAGACACATGGGGAAGGCAGGGCAACTTTCGTATCGGGGACCGGTGGTTTCTAGTTACGCCTCTGGTTATTTGGTATCACCACTGGAACAGAAATGGCAAATGTCTTAATCCTGGGCTGCAGGGTGCTTTGAAGATTGGGTTGGAAGTAACAGCACATGGTAATGCCCTACACACTTTTAAAAAGATTATGTTTAAATCATACATTTAGGTGTTAGATTAATATATTGGAATATTATCCAAGAACACAAACTATGATAATATATTTTCTTGCTCAACATGACCAATCGACACAATCTCAAAACTTCTTCTGTGGGTCTTCTCAAGACGTCTTGATCCTGCACTCTCAACTCAACTCTCCCAGTGTTTCAACCCCTTAAGTAATGTCTCTCCTTCGCCCAAATATCACAAACAGTTGGTGTTTCCTGCCAGCATCACTGTCTAAGCACACCATTGCCAAAGTCTCAAAATTTAAAAAAATAAAACAATTTTTATATAATAATAAAATATTTGAAAAATATATAACTTAAGCTCCTTCCCATTTGCCTACTTTACTGTTGGATAAAGGAGGATTTTTATAGGTGATATTTGCAAGTTTGTTTACCAAACTTTTTCAGCTACCTGTTAATTAAATTACGTTACCACTGAGTTCAGTTCCCAATCTTTAATATAAATAGCCAGTAGTACATATTTTAAAACTCATATATTAGCTAACCTCTGTTCATTGTCTGACAGCAATGGATTCAACAAGACTAAAGAAAGAAAGTTAAAATGAGGTTACATGTCCTGAAGTTAAAGGGTGGGTACTTATTTTAGGGAAAGCTTGGCAGATACCTTGGCATAAACATCCAGAATACATTTTAAACTATGAACATAGCGGTGCTTTTCATGAGATTATGATGAAGAAGAAAACAATTATGATTATATAGAAAATATTGTACCTGTTACCTCCACATTATCCCAAATCTATATATCCTTTGAAAGAAAATAGTTTATTTTATTTTTTTAAGTTCTGCAAAGTGTAAGTACATGACAGTGGTATTACCATTAAAGTGTAAGCTCATCTGCCAATGTCAAGACAAACCTCTTAGGTGAGTCTTATGCTAACAATTCACCCTGTTGCTCTCAGATTTAAGTCAAAATCTCTAATAACAAATTAAGGCAACAGAGTAAAATATTGCCTATTACCTCCTTTCATGATACGTTTTATTACACATAGGACCTTTCCATTTGATAGATAGTTTAATCGCTGTGAAGCAAATATATATAAAGGATGTTGTCACTGCTTCTTATGACTTAAAGCTTGACTGTTGACATGTATATTTCAAATACAGTGAAATGTATAATAAAGTATTATACCCCATACTATAACAAATAATAATAAATGACTATTTTACATATTTCTTCAAGCATTGACTGTAAAATACTGTCATGATAAATATGCACAATTATTGCTAATCTTGCTATCCAGTGACCCTTTGCTCTTGGATATATCCATATTCTCCAAGTGAGCTATGTTTTTGTTTTTCAAATTTTTTTAGTTTTTTAATAAATAAATTAAATTCTATTTGAGTTCTTTAC